ATGGGATTAATATATTATTAGGAGGAACTGAATTTCCAATTAGGTGTCTGGATACTTTGTTCAGCTGTGATTTGTAATGCTGAAGACTCATCTGGAATTACAGACTTGCAATTATGTTAGGATTTTTTTTTTTCAGTCTGCTGTTTTTCCATTTACATTATCTAAATTATATGCATTTTTTTTTCCTTACAGAAATTCAGCAAGTACCAAAATTTTGGAGTGAGAAATAATTACAACTGATTCTGCAACCCAATCATCCCTCTTCTAGAGTATGGAAGCATGAATGGTAGCTGGTTTGTGAGTGGCAAATCTGTTGACACAGAGCTGTTAAAGCTGGGATAGAATTATTTTTACAGTCCTGCAAGGTATTTTGTTACCAAGGACTTCTTCACAAAGTAGATCAGCCAATTAATTTAATCTCTTCAAACTTATAAATTTATACATATTAATTCAAATTATCAGCACTACTTGAGTATTCAAAATATGAAAAGACCAATAAGAGAAAAAAAGAATTATTTTATTTTATTTTATTTTATTTTATTTTATTTTATTTTATTTTATTTTATTTTATTTTATTTTATTTTATTTTATTTTATTCTATTTTATTTTACTTTATTTTACTTTATTTTATTTTATTTTATTTTATTTTATTTTATTTTATTTTATTTTATTTTATTTCTTGATGCCTGTTAGATTTACAGCACTTTGGCCTGTTATACTGTCGAACTGAATATCTGTAAAGTATTACAGATACTTCGCTGGAAGTGCAAATATCTATCAATTTAAATCCTAAATCTATGTCTCTGCCTACCTCAGCTAAGATAACCAAGCTCCAAAAGGCTGAGGAGAGCTGAACACACAGTGAAGAACAAGAACAGGAGACAATTAGTGAGAGCTAGTTAGTAATTTGGGAGCCTTGTATTTCCAAACCATGCCAAATAGCTTTTAGATACTCAAAACCCACATCAGAATCCAGATCTAGAAAAAAGCCAGTATAGAAGCTAGAAAGTTCAGCACAAACATGAGTGGAACAAGAGCTTCTGACAGTATGAATATATTTTAAATCCTAAATCTCGGTGTCTGGGATAGAAGTACTGGCAGCTTCTCATACCTGCAGAGAGTGCCCTCATTTACTGTACAGCTCTTTCCTGAGGTGGTGTTACTGCCCTCCACAGAACAGAAAAGGCATACTCTTGTTTTTAAGGTGTGATGGAGATTGTGCTGTTTACAAAGGTCCCTGCAGCCCTTCAAAAGGCTTTTTTAGCATGTCTCCACCATGGAGTCATTGCAAATAGGGATTTTTTTGCTGAACATTTAAATTTACTTCAGAGAGAATTCACTGGGAAGCCTCTAAAAACATTCTCTATTTACTTTTGTTGTTTTTTTTCTCTCTTTAAAAATATAAATTATAGCACTTGCAAACATAGCTGCCATCATTTGAAATTTCTATACAATTATAGGCAAAATACTTTTAACTGTACAGGTCTGCAGCAACAAGCATGGCACTAATATGTAAAAGAAAACTGTCATCTAAACCTATTCAAGAATAGTGTATGTACATTTTGTTGTCCTCAAATTACTTCTGCAAAGGCTGTACCAAATATGGATAGACAGAATACACTTCAGAAGAAGATGCAGTATGATTTTTCCTCTTACCATGAAAATGCTTTGTGCCCTACATCATAAATTCTTCACAACTTTAACAAATCTCTGTATTCCTGTTGATAGAGCAATATGTGCACAGCTTGTACATGACAATGACCAAACATAACTACAATTTTTTATGCTGATTCTTGTATGGAAAGTATCAGGTGCATTTCCTGATGATACAACATGTTAATTAGTACATACAACAGGCCATCCTTTAGCAGCCACATAAAGATTGAGCTACAGTCAATTCCATCTATAGAAGTTGCTTCAAATAGTATGCTTTTATTATATTAAACAGGGAAAGAAAACAGCAACCCAAGGACCACTTTTAAACTCAAGAGGGAAAAAAGAGAATAATGTCATAGGGGAATTATGGAAAACAAAAAAATAAAAAGTCTCTCTGAAACAGTGTAAATAATTTTGTTCTACACCTAATTTTACTTCCACTGTTGTGAATGGCATTTGCATCATCAAAATTTCACTGCACTTCAGTTTCCCCTCTGCTCTGTAAAACCCTTGCTGGAGCAAGTTTTGAGATTCTTCTGTAATTGAGAGAAGCTGCATATCTGGATTTTGCCCATCAGCTGCAGCAGCCCTTACAGAAGTACCTGTATGTGTCTGCTCCAAAAGGACAGCTGTACCTTTCAGTTCTGCTCCCTCACTGTCTGCTGGGGATGCCATGCATCATGAAAGGGCCTTTGGACCATATGGGTGCCACAGGAAAGAGGAAGAACACCAACTTCAGCTATGAAGTGTTATTTCCCTTCTTTTACACTTTCAAATCTGGTGACAAAAAAAAAAAAGAAGATGCAATCCTATGCAAAGGTTCAGGGCAACCAGCAGCAGCCCTCAAGCTCATAACCATGACACTGGATGAGATGCTAAAAGCAGCAGATACTGTTTTGCTCTACATACTCCTTGAAAAGCACATACTGCCATGGACTGGCTGAAGATGAAAAGCAGTAACCTACCTTGAGTGTGGCAGAGTATAGCAAACAACTACCAAAGCTGAGCTTGTGAATTTGTTGTTTGAATAAGCTGTCCTCAAGAAATATAAAAAGAAAGACTTATGAAGAAAAGATGCAGTGTTTACTAAAAGTGCAGAGGGCTATCACAAATTATTAAAAGACAAATTCATATTATGGTTCAAATAACTTCTTAAATAAGATCCACACATTCTAAAGGGAATAAGAATTTTTTATTAAGAATTACTCTCTAACTTCCTTCACTTGTTATTATGTATTTAGCTAATACTGCTATTCATGGGATTTTTTGCCAATAACCTGAAAAATCATGTATGAAATTAGTCTTCCGGTTAAAAAAAGGTTGCATCTAAAAATCTGAAAAATTAATTGGCTCATGTTTATGGTAATGATTAAGTTTGTTGGCCTGCCTGATAGTTTCTAGTTAATGTATTTTTAAAAGTTCAAAACTTCTTACAGTATTTGTACATTCTTGATATATCTTCTAATTCTGTATTGCACTGCAAACCTGCTGTTGTACCTGGCATAGGCATCCTGCCTAACAAAATACTTTTTTTTGCAGTTTCTTCCAAAAATGTACATGTTGATATAAAAATGAATAGAAGAAAGAACTTTCTTCAGCCCTAAAGATGTACACCAAAGGTTCCCTCAGTCATGGTGCTGCCACACATTTCCCCTTTACCTTTGCCCAGCTGAACTGGCATGCTTTCAGACTTCATCATCCTCTGCTGCTGTGACTGGTGGTGCTGGTGGTGGTGCTGCTGCTGGTGGTGCTGATGGTGCTGGTGGTGCTGAGGGGCTTCCACTGTGCTCCTGCTTGGCATTGAAGAGGGAGGGAAGCTGCTCCCGCCAGCAGGAGTGCCCACTGCCCCACCTGAAGCCATGGCTGGAGCAATGAGCTTTCGGCCAAAATTCAGTAAGCTGTTGGAGACTTTGTTAATGTTCAGAGGGGCAGCTTTAGCACTGGCACTGAGAAAAGAAGAGGAGAAATCATTGCATCATTTCCAATGGTTTGGACAGGCATAGCCATACATGTGTCGTTCTTCAAAACTTGGAGATAAATTCCAAGATTTGAAAATTAAAAAGAAGTGTTTACTACAGTTGCACTGGAATACATACAAAGGTGGTCTGGGTGTGGTATGAATTTTTCCCAACCAGAAGTGGACAAAATTTTTGGTCCTTCTCCCTGAAAAATGCAAACTAACACCAAAGAGAGTTTATACCAATTTTCTTAATTTGCCTTCCTAAATTTAGAAAAGAAAAAAAGAGTGACAAAAAGCAATCCAGGCTCTACAGAATCAAGAACTTCATAAAATGGAATTTTTGCACTTATTCAAAGACAGCTTTAATATTTATTTCTGCTAGATTAAATTCTCTCCAATGTTTAAAATTACTCAACCCCAAACATTTCTTTCAGCAAGCAAAGCTAACGCTGGACTGTCCTTTTAGGCTGGCAAAGCTAGATGTCTCTTGCTCTGAGTTCACCTTCTGCCCAGCCCAGTCATTTCAAGCCAAGCACTTTTTAACAGGAATCCTGACTTTTAAGTGATTTTTCTGAAGAACTGCTTCAGGGTATAACACATATACTGAATCACAATCCTTATAATTGCTACTTTTTATTTTTAACTACAGTGGCTATTTAATTCACTACAGTTATATGCAACATTAAGAATGAGGAAATTGTCGAACCATTTAATTTGTCTAAAATAAAGAGGCAAAGAACCTTCTAATTCCCAGTGGAAGTATTCACATAACCCACAGATTAGCAAAGCCATTCCTATTTGTTCATGCAATAATTCCCTACCTTATATAATTAATGCTTGAACTACCCTTCATAGAAATATATCATAACCACAAAGACCTTTTCACTCCTGAGGTTTTATTTCACTGATCTGTACTTCCACGATATAAAAAGCTGTTCTTTAAAAACATGAAGAAATGTAATTAAAACCAACAGAATCATTGTACTGGGGAAAAATAGCTTTACAATGTTTTGGGGAAGTTGAACTAAAAATAAACTACAAATGAATTAATACGGGTAATTTGTAACTTCTGCAGACACCTGGAAGAGTAATTTTGATTTTGCTCTTCCCATAATTTCTCTATTTGTCTCCAGAGATAGGTTTCTTTAGAACACACAATACAAACACGCACACACATGTAGAGCACACCCAGAAAATAACAACAGATGTGTTGTTTAGAATCAGCATAGATACTCAGAATAGACAGAAAAGGAGAGCTATCAGAAGGAAGTATGAGAGCCTGCACACTCACAAGATACAGCCCCAAGCTGTATGGGGTGCTTCTGCCATATACTAGTGAGGAAGAAAGATGGCATCTAAAATTTGTTAGGAGTAACAGCAGTGCAGAGACTGGGACCAAGTGTTGCTTCCCAATTTATGGAAGCTGGGAGAGAATGATTGCCAAATCATAATTACAGGATGTTTCTGTGTCTCCCGATTTTATTGATTGCTGCTGGTGTTACAAAAAGTCCTTCCACAGTCACCTGATGATGACTGACAAAGTCACTATGAGGAAAGCATCTGCAGAACTATAAAATGTTGCAGGAGGTCCAAATGGTTTCAAAAGAAAATGGAGTAGTTGTGAGGGACCAAAGTGTTAGTGGTTAGTGACTCAAACAATCACAGATGCATAAAAGCTGCAGGTGCTTTGCTGAGGCCAGGCTTACACCCCCCAGCTGAAGGGGAGGAGGAGAGTTTTTGGATGTTTGGCAGCTCCTGGATGAGAAGCAGAAGTCTGCTGACCCTGACCCTAATGAAAATCAGAGACAGCAGTGTGCTCACTCCACGCAGTGCTTGCACTGAGTGATTCAAGGATTGCTGGTATATCACAGTGCTGGATCTTTGCTGCAGCACAAAATGGAATTTCTGAACTTATAGCTGATTTGGTTCCACTAACAGCAACATCCAACTCTGCAAACCCAGCAGCCACAATATAAGCACCCATGTGACTGAGCATTTACAAGATGCTCAAAGTCTGCTTCTAACTGTCCTGCCTGGGTGGTGAAGGAGCCAACACAGAGTTGTGGCTTCCAGTTTATTTCAGGCAATTGAATGCCAATACTGCACCTTTAACCACTGCTCCGCTGGCACGGGCTTGGAAAGGAGGGCAATACACCTTTAACAGCCTCCTGCAAGGGTATGGACATTCACCCACCATTGTGAAGGCTGTGCAATTAACAGCCTCACTCCCTCTGGTAATGAAATTAATTGGAGGAGAGCCTCTTGAAAAGGGGGAAGCAACAACAAGGAGTGTGAAAAGAACTTCTTATGATTGAAGTTGAGATTCTGAGAAATAGCTTAAGTCTAAGTTGTTAAGCAACTTCAGCCACTAAAGGGTAACCTGTCCAGACCAACCCCTTGAGACTTGTATTGCCAGTACACTCCCACTGAAGATCAAAGGACGAGTCACCCCACTAAGGGCAGCCCTATCAGGAGTCCAACACTTTGGTCCCCTCTGACTCTCCAGAACCTGTATTTAACAGATTAACCAGTTGTGAATGAGGGATGGCCAGTGGATTTAAATGCAAAGGCTCACAGAAAATAGCCAGGGAGATTGATAATCACCTTTCCCCTGTGCCCTTTTAACTATTTTGTTATTTTTGTGATAGACACAGGAGCACAAGTGTCAGCATTTCAAACTGAAGTTGCTGCCTACTGGATTATGCCAGACAAGAAAAAGAATTTGGTACGTTAATCAACACTCAATGGATTACTTCTTTGTAATAATCTGCCTGTAGTAGGCTGAGTTTTCTCTTTTCTTTCTACAGGAACCTGCTAATGGATGAGGTCAAGCTGAATGGGATCTCAATCAGTTATCAACAGCTGCAACAGATCTCATTACATTGCTGGTTTTGGGGTTCATAGCAGTAATAACTTGGCTGAGATTCTGTCAACCCAAACTTTAGTATATTTTTTCCCCTCTGTTTACTGAAAATGATCACTTAAGTTGGAGTTTGGGGTGATAAATATCACTCACTCACCTGAAACATTACCTTAGAAGGAAGATAATGGCTTGCACATTGAGTCCTAGGTTTACGTTGTCTCTAAGTCTAGAACTTTGACAATCACTAAAAACCCCCTTGGCTTTGCACAAAGAATTATATTTACTGGAAGTAAGTGATCCACACTGGCAGACCACCTGAGCAACAAAGCTACTGGGCACTTTGAGCTTAATGTATCTTCAGAATTGTGATAGTGCACAGATGCAGGAAACAAAGAGAGCTGTGTATTTGTGTCTAGCAGCTTGTTTCTTTATTTTTCAGCTATATTTTGCCTAATAAAAAGGTGTCAGTTTTTCTTCTACACTGTTCGATTTGCTGCTTTGACATATATGTACACCAGGACAAATTAGTTTATTTGCATTTTTCAGATGGTTGGAAAGAGACTTTTAGAGGAACAACAAACATAAACAATTTCCAAGCCTTTATGTCCGAAACATGATTTTTAGAAATGCTTCCAACAATAAAATGCAAGAATGTTTTAGAACTAACTACATGACAACTAGAAAGGATAGTTATCGCAGCTCCTAATAACCTGTGATGTGATACAGCTGTTCTGTAAACTGACACTTATAATGAGCAGCTCAGAACATATATTAATTAATGAAAAATAAATAATGATGCCATCTAAATATCTTTTCAAGAGGTGGTTTTATAATTGTATTGTGAAGTAAAATCTATGCAGTTTCTCTGAACGACAGAAAATGAACAATAGTGAGGTGCTACATGTCTGGAGGATTTACATTAAAAGTGAGCTGAAGTTCAGTAAAATAAGAACAATGTGTCTATTTCTTACCACTTAAATGTCTGATATATTAATGCAAAGGATGATTACAGCCATTAAACATGGATCAATCTACATTTTAGCCATCTAAATGTACCAGACATGCACAACAATTACAAGAAAAATACCGATTGATTTATGTTGTAGAGTTATCACCAGATGCATTTAAAAGTAAGGCATCAGTTTAAAAATATGAATATCAGGGAGACATGAATTCCATCCACGAAGCAAACAATTTTGTTTCATCACAATAAGCATCATTGACCTTGACTGTGAATGGTGTATTTTTAAACTAGCAGTAGGAAGATGATTCAATCTCTGCAGTTTTCTGCTAAGATGGAAATGTTTTGTTTTAAGCAGGCCTTATTCAAAAGCATTTCTCTTTTCAGTAAGTAATCATTACAAGAGATGAGAGACAAATATATGAATATGACCGATTAAAAAGTTTTATATGTGACAAAATAAGCAATATGCATTAGAGATTTGTCAAGATATTTTAAACATATCACTAAGCCTGTGGAATAAAAGATGAAATAAACCTGGTAGTTGATTTAATTCATCTCTGCTCACTGCAGAAACATTTTACATCTTCCGGTTCTTTCCCTAGTCCGATCTGAAACAGTTTTATCATATCTGACCTACTCTAACGGTTCCTGTCTTGAGATTAATTTATCCCAGATTTTCTTCTATCTGAATTATTCTAAACAACTTCCCATCTCCTTCGGTGTGTATTCTGAGTATATGTGTGCAATTAATTTATTTTTCTACACAGATTTAATGAATTTTTTTTTCTTGGAATTTAGGTTTACAGCAGGTGTCATTCTTGTTTGGGCTTTATGTTTTACTTGTTTTTTCAAAATCCTTGAAATCTTTCTTTTTGAAACTTCAAACAACTTATTTTTCCACTTTCGGCAACACTTGAGACAATTTTTCAGAAGAATAAGTAAAAACATTAAGAAAATACAATAGAATACAGTAATTTTTGACACCTTTCTGCAACTTTAAAGTCTGATTTATAAAGAAAAAGATGGTTTTGCAATCACCCTACGTAGCTTTAATTTCTGCTTCTTTGTCCCTTCTTAAAAGCTTCTCAAACTACTCCATTTTAGTTTTAGTTGGCTTTTAATTTAGCTGATTTCAGCAGAATGTGACAGAGTTGCAGAAGCCCAAAAGCCTGCAAGTTCCCAAGAATCAGCAGGCAGAGGGTACAGCTGGGGCCATGTGCAACCCAAGAAGCTGCCAGTGACCGTGTCCATTGAAGCGTTATGTTTTGTGCTGGACTGACCTACAGCCACCAGCAGCCACCAGCCATCGGCACCCACCTTGTGGCCACCCAAATATTATGGCCTTCACAAGGAATTCTGCCATTATTGATGCAAACCACTTCTAAAAGATGGGAGGAAAAGTTTTGTAAAAATTACTTCAAACTGGATTTATATTAATTCAACTTAGCTTCTGGTACATGGATACTCCAGACTGCAATTAGGTGCATTATCAGAATTAGTTCAGCTAACTCACACTGGCAATGTTTTACTCTGTTTTTAGGATATATATCACTGTGTAAAAGTCTTCAGCCTCCCTTAAAATGAAGCCAGCGAGTGACTCCAAAATTTTTATGTGTAAAAATTTCAATTCTTTCATGTAATAACAGTCAAGGGACAGATTTGAAATAAATGTCATGAAATAAACACATGTGCTTCTAATACTGCTTAGGTAATTCCTGTTTAGGATAAACGTGACTCCTAAAACATTTTGTTTATGTAAGGTCTTAGTTTGCTGAACATATATTTAGAAATAGCTTACCGGGTTTTGTTCATCAAGTCTGCTCCACGTGCTTTGTAATAATCTAAATTTTGTTGGAACTGGTGAGTCACCGGTCTTGGATTTCGCTGAAAAATAAAAAAGGACTTCATTGTAATTTTCTGGGAGATTTTAAGCATATGTTCATTAAAGAGGGTTAGAAACTTACAGAACAATTTCTTTTCCTGGGATCTTGGTTTTTCAAGGGAATAATGTCATTTACATTAAAGTGAAGACATAAAATACTTTATACCAAATTCTAGCTGTAAGTCTATTCCATGCTCACAGAAATCAGTACTTTCTCACATGGTGATGAGGCTCTTTGCTGTAGTGGTAACATTCCTAATTAAATCAATAATTCTTGGACAAGAACAGATACTGACCGGATTTCTTCCTGCAGGTCAGGTATGGAATTTGACCACCTCCAAGCTAAAGTGCTATGCTTCTAAAGAAAATGGTAATAGTATGGAGAAATGATAGCAAACGTTTTGAAATGAATACATCACTAGCAGTATCTCTGTTAAGCAAAGAATTAATTTTAGTGAGACAACCTGAACAATCCCACTAGATGGCACACAAAGCCCATTTTTGCTCCTCGAATTTCACCCAACTCATAACAGAGGCCATGAATAAAAAACTGTTGTCCTATAATAAAGTGTATATAATTAATACTGAAACCAAAATCCACTTGTTGTTATTCTCCACTTCTGACACAAAATCTTTTATGGAATCATGCTACCTTCAGTAGTTCTGAAATCATCCTTTTGGGATCTAAGAATCCACTGAACATTAAGCATTGACTGCAGTATATGCATAAAGTATCTTGATTGAATGCATACATCCTGAAGGACACTATTTGGAGGGGCAAGTAAATATTTTTAAGTAAAAAAATTTGCATGCAGATGGAAACAAAATAATGGAGCAGTACAGAGAGGACCTTTTAAAATATACATAGAAATAGGAAATGGCTTAAGTAATTTCTAGTGCAAGAGAAAACAACATGGTAAATTTCTGCGTACTGACCAGATATCTTGCATAAAAGTGATCTAAATGCTTTCTAAGTATTTGCTACAAGGGTTTAATCATTTATTGGCTGTTGCCTTATATTCTGATCTGCCTTAAGTCCTGCCTTAAGTCCTGTAAATACAGATTTAGTGAACCATGCATTGACCTTCTCAAAACCATTGTTCACAGGTGAGAGTACATTACATTTTTGACAGTCAGTCTTCAGGTGTTTCAGTTTCACATGTGATATATTTGCTCTCCAAATTTCATTGCAGACTGGAGTATTTACAGTCTTACCCTGTCATTTCCCATGTACCTACAGATAGCCTTCCTTCCTTGAAAACCTTGTTTCTGGAGGAGGATACAAGGCTTGAATTTTAAAGACCAAAACATTGCATGAGCATATAAGGAGGGAAGAAAATTTATAGAATTGGTAAATACCAAAGGCCAGAATGATTTCTGAAAGCATAATTAAAGGTGGGAATTTCCAAATTGTTTCCTGCAGTTAGACTTAATCTTGTATGAAATGTCTAATTTTCTTTCTTTGGAAACACAATAAACATTTTAAACATATATGTTTGTAATGTTCATTAAAAAAATGAAATTACTAAAAGCTATTAGACAGGCATTAAAAAAATTCTCATCTATCCTACCACCCACACTGTAATGGCTGTTCTACATTTTTCATCTCCTGTTATAAAAACAATGTTTGAATAACTCTACCTATTGACAGAGCTTGAAAGTCAGTCCTCATCAACTGACAGCAATAACAATGAATCAGCTTTAGTTACTATTGCTCTAGTTTGGTAATTCAATACATTTCTATGATAATCAAATCCAAAATGACGTGACGAGGATAACCGATGGTTCTGCAACTTCTGTGTGAATAATCAAACAGTGTAACTTTTCTCCTCTGAATTAAGAAACTTCTTTCTTTACATGTTTTGAAGGATAAGGTTGAAGAGTAAAAGTACAAGTAACCAGGTGCTAGCCAGATTTGCAATTTGCTTCCAATAACTCAGTATATATTGATAGTTAGCAAAAACATTGAAATTTCTTTTTCACCACCCAATAAATAATGAAAATGATTATTACACATTGCTGATGAATTAAATAAAAACCCAAAACAAAAACAAGAGGAAAAGACCATGTGGAACAGTATCTTGAAACGTATTTATGCAGAAATGACAAGCGATTGAAGACATGAAAAGCTGATCTACTATCTAAGCACTTAAAGCCATTAATAGGAATAACATCTAACTCAAACATATGAATGAGGCTCAAGCATTACTTTCACAGGGGACTATTTAAATTCCTATGAGGTTTAAAGATATCCAAGGAAGACGCAGTTTAAAGTACTATTACATGCAGTGAAAAAAAATCTCTCTGAAAAAACATTAGAAATGCAATATAGTAAATGCCAAGGGTTACCACTGCAACTTCTTTTGTAGAACCTCTGAGATATCCCCTCAAAAAATTTCAATATTTAAAGAAACCTAACCTGATATATATGTTAGCAGACATATATCTGTGAAGTATTACCACAGAAAATTTAAATACTTCTGAAAACTGAAATTCAGACAGTAAAAATTACGTTATTTTGAAGATTATGATCTTTATGTCACTGTGGTTGTCCTTTAAGTTTTGTATTCTTTTCAACCATTTCAGTAAGTTAAACATAAAAAGCAGAATAGAAAACCTACACAATTATTATGCTTGTTCCTTAAGAATCTTTAAGTAATTACCCTCTCTAAACATTCAATTTGAGCTGTCCCTTAAATTACAACCTATTTATTAGAACTAAGGACTAAATTTCTTTACAAAAAAACATACCTCTGTTGCTTAAAATATTCACAGCAACTGTTTTTTTCCTACACAGTGCAATTTAGAATGATCCAATTTGTATTTTTCTTTACTTAAATAAGTTATTCCTTTTCTTTTTCAATTTCTGTACATTATTTTGTTACTAACTCAGATAAAATATTTTTTTCTTAAAAGGATAACGTTAAAATGACAATTTAAATTTGTATTTAAATATATATAGTTTATACAATTTGAATTTATAGTTTGTTGAATAGCTCCAAGAAATTGTGTGAGGGCTGAGGGCATTGTATAGATTAACACATATATGATTTTCCCCTAGTAAGGAAAGAGAGTGCAGAAATCAGAGAAAAGCTGTCTGTGACAATACTAGGACACCCTCCCCCCCAGCCCCCCTTCCCCACACCCATCTTCTAGGATTAGTCTGCTGGATTTATAATTCTTCTAACCTTAATTTCTATTTACAGTCAACATAGTTTCAGCTGGTAGAAAATGCCCAGTTTATGCTTTAAGACAGCGTATGAAATTCACATATAGAAACACATAGCAATTGATGTGACTTTGGACTTTGTCTCTTCAAAATGTATCAGCCACAGTCCAAAGAGAAAAAAAGCCTGAAAATGTTCCAGGTGTCTCCGAGGCACTCCTGCCTCTGAAGTCCTCTCCCTGTCCTCCTGACTATTCCCAGCCACCCCCAGACCAACTCAATCCATTCCAGGACGTTCTCAGGGACTTTTCTGTTTGCCCTTACCCTCTCCCAAGGCACGGGGCTGAGCTAAGTTATACCCACAGCTGCACTTTCCCCAGGCGAGGGACTGACGCTGTGGTCACACTGAACACGGCCGATTCCCTAAACCTGCACAAACTGCTGAAAAACAACTCCCACCAGTTAAGGATCCTGCTCCATATGGC